CAGCTGAGTCACGTGGGATGAGCAGTCCCGTACTTATGACGTCGGGCCTGCAGGACACGTGACCGCCCCCGGCGCTCACGGTGTGACACAGGGGGCCCCCCGGCCCTTTCGTCCACCCCCCCCTCCCTGCTAGGAACACCAGGAGAGGGCGGGGCCGTGACGTCTCGTGTTCCAGCTCCCGTTCCGCCCCTCACAGACTTCTACAGCATCTGGAGGGAGCAAGGTTTGCTGACAGATCTATGGCTGGAGAAAACATTGCGCAGGGGTTACGCACTGCAATGCTCCCGGAAGCCACCACCATTCCGAGGCGTACGGGCAGCACGCTCTCAGGTACGGGGATCATTAGAGGCACTGCAAGTGGAGGTCTCCTCCCTGCTGAGTCAAGGCGCAGCAGTGGAGGTAGACCCGCAGGACGCCACCAGGGGGCTGTACTCCCCTTACTTCTTAGTGCCAAAGAAGTCAGGCGGGGTGCGTCCCATTTTGGATCTGCGCGTTTTGAACGAGTGCATTTCCAAACGGCAGTTTCGGATGCTGTCCACAAAGCAGCTCCTCAAGTGTGTCAGGCAGGCAGATTGGATGTCCTCCATAGACCTGACAGACGCTTACTTCCACGTGCCGATAGTGCCGGAACACAGGAGGTTTCTGCGCTTCGCAGTGGGAGAGAGGAATTACGAGTACTGCCGTCTCCCCTTCGGCTACGCACTCGCGCCTCGCACTTTTTCCAAGTGCGTGGAGGCAGCACTGGAGCCGCTCAGACGCGCAGGAGTAAGAATTTTAACCTACATAGACGACGGGTTAATTCTGGCCTCATCCAGGGAAGTGGCCGTGAGTCATACGCACTGGGTCCTGTCCCACATACAGCGTCTGGGCTTTGTGGTAAACAGGGAGAAAAGCAAGCTGCAGCCCGCTCAACGCATGATTTATCTCGGCCTGCAGCTAGATTCTGTGACATTCCGTGCTGCATTGTCCAGAATTTTCAGAGGTGGTTCTCACGCCTCAGGCTTCACCCCTCCCGGGACGGGGGGAGGCTGATCTGGGTTCCACAAGTGGCAGCATCGGACATCAGGTTCTGGCTCACTCCGGGTCTATTGCGGGACGGAGTGACTCTGGCCTGCGCCGTGTCTCACGTGGAGGTGTTCACGGACGCGTCACTCGAAGGATGGGGCGGGGTCCTCGGCCAGAGCTCTGTAGGAGGCTGCTGGTCGGACTCAGCCCGTCACATCAACCTGCTGGAGATGGAGGCAGTGCACAGAGTACTGCTGCACTTTGCTCCTCAGCTGCAGGGGAGACACGTGATGGTGCGCTCAGACAACACCACAGTGGTCTCCTATCTGAACAGGCAGGGGGGCACCAGGTCCCCCGCTCTCCATCGCATGGCGACGGTGACGCTGCTGTGGGCGGCGCTTCACCTCCTGTCTCTCAGGGCGCGCCACGTCCCGGGGGTCCGGAAAGTGGGGGCCGACAGGATGTCCAGAGGGGGCCTACTCCAGGACGAGTGGGGCCTGGCCCCACGGGTAGCTGCGGAGATCTGGCGGAGGTTCGGCCGTCCAGTGGTCACCCTTTTCGCCAGTGCAGAAAACGCACAGTGCCCGTCCTGGTTCGCCTTAAGGGCCGCGGACGAGCCGCCCCTAGGCGTGGACGCTCTGGCTCATTACCCCTGGCCAGAGGGCCTGCTGTACGCTTTCCCACCAGTGCGTCTCCTGCCGGTCCTGCTGCGGAGGGATCGAACAGGAGAGGAGGTCGGTGATCCTGGTGGCTCCGGACAGTCCGCATGCCCGGTGGTTCCCCTTCCTGAGGGGCATGGCGGTGATGGAGCCCTGGGCCCCCCGGACGAGCCGGGGGCTCTAGTCCAGGGGGGGGGAGCCCTGTTTTCACGCCCGATAATCGGCCGCAGGCTCTGGGTTTGGAGGTTGAGAGGCGGAACCTCGTAGACCTGGGTCTTCCCCCTGCGGTGGTGGAGACCATTCAGGGGGCGAGGGCGCAGTCCACTGTGAGGGCCTACGCCACGAGGTGGAGGCTCTTCAGCGACTGGTGCGGTTCTCGTTCCTGGGACCCCAGGCGTTGCCCGCTGGAGGGGGTCCTGGGATTCCTACAGGAGCTTTTTGACAAAGGGAGGGCTGTCGCCACCTTGGCGGTGTTCGCGGCAGCCATTACCTCGGGTCACGACGGATTCGGGGGGTTCACAGCCCGCTCTCATATCCGTTGGTTAAACGTTTTCTGCGGGGGGCGTGCAGGAGGAGGCCCCCGCTCTAGAGAACGCCCCCGGTTTGGGACCTCAGGGTGGTCCTTAGGGGGCTGTCGGGTCCGCCTTTTGAACCGGCGGCGGAGGCGAGTCCCGAGTGTGTCCCGAGTGTGTCGCTTTTAAGCCCTCTTGCTGGCGTTGGCGTCTGCTAAGAGGGCGGGCGACTTGTGTGCGCTCTCTGTCCATGCGTCTTGCCTGTCCTTTGGAGAGGGCGACGGCATGGTGGTATTGTGGCCCAATCCGGCCTTTCTCCCCAAGGTCATCACGTCGGCCTTTAGGTCGAGAGTCATCAGGATTAGGGCTTTCTATCCGCCACCGCATGCCTCCCCCGAGGAGGAGCGGCGGCACCTATGTGTTGGCACCTTGTGGTAGTCCACGTCAGGAGCTCTTGGGAGAGGCGTCCTGTGGACTACGGGTGACCTACGGTCTGTGTTACGTGGGGGTATCCTTGGTAGGAGTGGCCCTGTAACACGCAATTTGTTTCTTCTGCCCCTGAGTCCCTCTCACGGTGTGAGGGTCTTGCTCGGGCGGAGCTCCAATCACCCATTCGCGGGCCTGCTGGGGAGTACATTTTCCTACGGCCTCCGCGTTGTGTCCCACTAGCGAAGTCCTAAGGGACGTAGCACCATGACGTAGAATTAATAGTTACTTAATGTAACTTAAGTTCTACGAATAGGTGCGTAGTCCCTTAGCTACTGAGCCCATCAGGCCAGCCCGGCTTGGCAGTAGTTCAAGAGGGGGTGCGGCCTTGTGCAGGGGCCTTTTATAGAGGAAGGTGGCTGGTGATTGGAGCAAATTATTTTGATCTCTCTGGCGTGTGACCCTGGGGTCACAGTGATATCGCCTATAGCGAAGTCCGAAGGACTACACTTTTCGTCCAACACGTTACATTGGTAACTATAAATGCTCCATTTGTTCTTCTGCCCTGAGTCCTCTCACTGTGTGAGGGTCTTGCTCGGGCGGAGCTCCAATCACCCTTCGCTGGCCTACTGGGAGTACATGTTCCTACGGCCTCCGCGTTGTGTCCCACTAGCGAAGTCCTAAGGGACGTAGCACCATGACGTAGAATTAATAGTTACCTAATGTAACTTAAGTTCTACGAATAGGTGCGTAGTCCCTTAGCTACGAGCCCATCAGGCCAGCCCGGCTTGGCAGAGTTCAAGAGGGGGTGCGGCTGTGTGCAGGGGCCTTTATAAAGGAGGGTGGCTGGTGATTGGAGCAAATTATTTTGATCTCTCTGGCGTGTGACCTGGGGGTCACGAGTGATATCCCACTAGCGAAGTCCTAAGGGACTACGCACCTATTCGTATAACTTAAGTTACATTAGGTAACTATTAAATATACAGTCTATGTTCACAGCTGCGACGCGACTCCTCTGCTCATTGACAAAAACAACGCATAAAGTAAAGAGAAAGGGACCATAGCGATTACAATCACTGACATGCAGATTCTCACGGGATAAGTATTATCACAGGACAAATACAGCAGGTCATTTGCGTATTAAATTATACTAAATTAGAGCGAATAGGGCTGAAGTAAACAAACTTGTTTCACTTCTGGGTAATCGATTGAGGCCGAAATTCATACATATTAAAAAACGTTAATTATTGCATTTTCTAGTTCCCAAATCCGGTCATCATATTATATATATGTCTTATAAGCAATGAAAACAAATGCAAAATAGCCTTTTTTTGATTTTCCATTTCCCTTCAAAAATAGAAAATGTATTGAACGCAAAAGTACACAGACCCATATCTCCCTTGTTAGCAAACATGTTAGTACCACATGGCATTTGGAAATCATGAAATTGATATACTTTTCCACACAGTTCTTCCTAAACAATATTAACAACAAAAATGAAGTATGGTTAAAAATGTATGCTAATAATTACCTCTCTTCACAGCATGACCTTGAAAAGACTTGAGTAAGTAACTTTGTGAAGGTTGAGTATGTTGGACTGAACAATTTACTTTAAAAAAGGGTGGAAAATGCCACGCCGTTACGGGGTTGAACAAACTTGGGGGACAAGACTACAAAGTACCATTAAAAAAAAACATGAATTCTTTTCAGTTTTCTTTTTAGTTAGAGCAGACAGCAAATGATTATAATACCAGAAAAAAATGGGTTAATGGCAATTTATATATTAGATTGAATGAAAAAGTAATTTTGGTCACTGGGGACATGCATTTTCCTCTGCCATCTGATACTCAGAGACCTATGAATACGTGAATAATGTATTTTTTTTAAATATGTTCTTGTGTTCTATGCAAATACACATGTTTCTTTCTGTTTCTTGGTTAAAATTCATTTTACTGGTAACTTTATTTTTTAATCTTTGCGTTAAACCTCTGGGACACAAAAGGCACCGGTTACAGAGAATTATGTTATACCTTAGAAGTGTATGCTGATTTTTGATTATGCCTTACTCTATTCTCACCTCTCTTTTCTGACTGTTGCACCGAGTCAAAGTAATTTCCTAATCTGTGACTTCCTGTTACCTACATGGCAATAAAAGTATGATTCTGATTCTGATTATCATTATTTATTGTGTTTTTGTGTATGTTTATTTGCCTTGTTGTGTTTAATGCTAAAATGATTCTGTATTTGTTGTTTGTATTTTGTGGTCCTAACAACAAGTTCCCGGATACGTCATAGATACACTTCCGTGACCACAGCGACCGCGCAGCAGACTGTACGCGCAGCACGTACCTGTGACGTCAATCCCGGAAGTCGAACAGTGTGTTTTTGGTTTTTTGCGATGGCTCCTGATTTAGCACACGTCCAGAAGCAGACTTTTCAGGTTCTCGAGCATCTGCTTAACGATGATTCGGAAGTGGGTTTTAGATCTGGAGACATCGAGACAGATGGACGTAAGTACCAAGATATCCGCCGTTTACCGGTAAAAATGAATGAGCTTCATCCGCGCGATGAAAGAAAAGGGTTTGACCAGAAGTGGCGAATATTACTTTCATTTTCAAAGCCAAAACAACATATCGATTGACTTAGAACTATGTGTTAAATAGATGTTCTTTCATTTTCAGCTTCGTGTTTTACTATGCGCCTGCCACAGTTAGCTTGAACTGAAGATAAGGGGCAAAAATAAGGCTTGCAAAACGTATTCAACGCATTTTAAATGATTATTAATCCATGATCATGTATGTAACTACGGAGCAAACGTAGACTACTAAATACAGTACCCATTGCTATTATTTTTACTTATTCTAGTTATATTCTCTGCTGCTAAAGTAAATAAATACCATCTGTAAGTGTGAATCTTAACGATGAGAGTAGGTCGAGAGTTCATTCTTTCCTCAGAGAAAAGAATGTTTAATATCTATTTATTATCTAAAATAATAGATCTTGTTTGATGAGTGCTTTTATTTCTCCTATAATTTCTCCTGATTTTACCTCTGAGGAAAGAATAAAGGTTGTTTTAACTTATCTCATTCTTGAAGAGAATTCAAAAGGTTTGGGACACAAACTCGTCTCGTATGAGTCTTATTAACTTCTATGCATATTAAACAAAATTGTGACAGAACTTGGATTGTAAAGAGTTTATCAGACAAATAATACCAGCTGATTAATGATTCATGACACTACACCAACAAAAACAGATGGCGACTGTTTTACAAAAGAGCTCAAATACATAGGATCATTGGATCTCAAATCTGTTGTATCCTCTCCCTGCATTAAACTCTTCCCGGAAGTGCTGGAGGAAGTGTGTGTGGATAGGAAAGTCCACACACACTCTTCCCCGCAGAAGAAAATGGATGGATAGATTTAACTCAAAGGATACTTAGACAAAAACTTAATGTTTATGCATCCGGCTCATGAGTTCAACTTTGGGTCAAAGACATTTGGATGAGAACAATTGACTTTATCACATTAAACCTTTCTAAATGCCGTCTGTAAGCATTGTGGGATGGATGAACTCAACAGAGAGTAAGTGCTCACTGAAAAAGCACAAGGACTGGCCTCCTGCTGGCGCCCAGAGTCAGAACTACCCATGGGGAGGCAGAGTTTGAGATTTATGCAGCAAAAATCTGTCTTCCTGAAAATGTGAGACAGTTTTTTACTCTGAAAATGTTCCAATTTGGGTTAAATATAACTGAAGGATTGTATCTTCACTCTTTTGAATATACTGATTATTTATTTAAATGCCTATACTAAATTAACCCTGCCATGCTTAGGAGTACTGCTTACTACTATGTGACTGTTTATTCATCAGACTGACCATGGCGGCGACACTTGATTTACGATCCCATGTATTGGTGCAAAGTCCTTTTTCTGTTTGAGATAAAATGTTCTGAAATGGGCGAAAGGTGGAGAGAACGGTGGTTTGAATGTTGTTTTTTCTCACAGCTGACGACGAGTTTGATGCAGCTTCGATCGCGGAGAAACTCAGAAAAGTGGCGGACGCTTTGAACGAAGACGCAAACTTCCAGGCCAAACTCCGGGAGCTGAAGGTGGCTGTGGCTCAAGAGGTATTTTTATTTAAATCATAATCTCATGTTTTTCTCAATCTGGATTATCGGAACATCTTGGTGCGAAAGGATTTGTTTTTTATTTCCTAAGATCCCGCAGCTTTTTCCTGTGTTGAAATTGCTTGTCACCCCGGGGTGAACAGTGGGAAAGCTTTGCGTGTTGTTTTGAGGACAGGAATTTGTCAAAATAAAAGGGTCTTCTAGGCAAGGCAAGTTTATTTGTATGGCAGAGTTCATGCACAAATACTCAAAGAGGAGTTATAGCCAATTCTGCTAACATGCTACTGTGTTTAGCAGTGCTATAGAGGCTCGAGGACGCAGCCTCGTTCTGTGATTGGAGGAGAGCGGGTGTCACGCCAAGTCTCTGCTCAGCACTTTTATACGGCCTGAATTCATACACAAGCTGAATCAATGAGCTCAAGTTTTTAATTAAATTACGGATTATAATACAACTTGTATGTAGTTATAAGCATTTTTATGAACTCATTATGAACTCATCAAGTATAGCTTCTTTAACCTGGATTTAAAGTTTGTTAGAATAGAAGTCTGTCTCACATTTTCAGGAAGACTGAATCAGGACTAAACATGTGGAGGCAGCGTTTCAGTCTTATGCAGCTAAAATCTGGAACAGAGTCCCAGCAGGAGGCCAGTCCCTGTGCTCCTCAGTGTCCCAGCAGGAGGCCGGTCCCTGTGCTCCTCAGTGTCCCAGCAGGAGGCCAGTCCCTGTGCTCCTCAGTGTCCCAGCAGGAGGCCAGTCCCTGTGCTCCTCAGTGTCCCAGCAGGAGGCCAGTCCCTGTGCTCCTCAGTGTCCCAGCAGGAGGCCGGTCCCTGTGCTCCTCAGTGTCCCAGCAGGAGGCCAGTCCCTGTGCTCCTCAGTGTCCCAGCAGGAGGCCGGTCCCTGTGCTCCTCAGTGTCCCAGCAGGAGGCCAGTCCCTGTGCTCCTCAGTGTCCCAGCAGGAGGCCGGTCCCTGTGCTCCTCAGTGTCCCAGCAGGAGGCCAGTCCCTGTGCTCCTCAGTGTCCCAGCAGGAGGCCAGTCCCTGTGCTCCTCAGTGTCCCAGCAGGAGACCAGTCCCTGTGCTGCAGAGGTTTTTGACCCCTGTTGATGTGTCCCATAAAGGAGTTTTGTTTTATTATCGGTCTGAATAAAACGTTGACACACCGTGATGACTGTGCCTCATAAAAGTGAATCAGCTGAAATTCTGTGGTTACGTTTACATCCATATTCAGACAAATGTAGTTTGTGATTTTTAGCTGAGTTTCGCTCTTGTTATAAGGCTTGATACGATGTCTTTACGCAAAATATGGCCTTTTGTGTGACTTTCGTGTTGTTTTATATCCTTCGTCTTTAGTTTTTAGTCAAAATTCTTGTAATTTTTGCATTGAGGAAAAGGTCTGCAGCTTTGTGTAACGAGTTTGAAAATATGTAATTTACACAGCGAGGGTGAGGGAAGTGGGCTAGAACCAGAAATGGGGTAAGTAAATGGGGAAGGCTCTTAAAAGCTTTCTTGCTCTGGCCTCCATTAGAGCTGTTCCATTTCTTGTTAATGTGTAAATCGAAATAAAAATTGTAGTTACTCAAATAAATAAAAGAATAATTATGAATATAATGGTTAAAACTCACAGGTTGCTTATTTGTGTTGTAAATCTTTTGTTCTTGTGTGAATACTGGGTCTGGGTTGTTGCTCCCAATGCTTTGGTGTTGGTCTGATCGTTCCAAATGCTGAGGCGGCATGATCTTGATCTGAAAAGGAAACTTAATAAATAATAATTACATAATATGTTTATTGTAACAAGTGGAAATTCTCCTTGACAATGTAAAGTATGAGTCAGACTGTAGTTGGCAAACATGTTCTGACCTGCATCGCCGTCCTGGAGTCAAGAGCAGTTCATGTTTATTTCTGTTTGTTTTGTAGCTGTTGCAAAAAGCTTAATGAGGCGGGGGGGGGGAATAAATCCGCAATCAGCATTGAGAGGAAAGCCCAGAAATAAAGGGGGACAAATATGGGATCTACCGTCTTCATTTCCCCCCTAAAATATATATATGTTTTAACCCTTTTTAGTTTTCTACAAGGATTTTTTCAGTTTTAATGTTTAGCACCGCCCCTCAACTCGCTCACAGGCTTCTCATTTCCCCTACGCTCTCATCCCACGGAGCCATCTAGATCTGATACGTACGCAAACATTAGCATTAGCGCAACTTCTTGTAAGCTGTACAACAATCACTGATGACATGGTTCAAAAACAACGCGCTGCTAACAAAATATATAACTGAAAGATTGTAGTCCGAGCATAGATAGTCCGAGGCGATACGCTCCAGCAGCTAGCTGTTGTTCAACTGGGCTCGATTTCTTTGATAATTTTTTCGTTTAGTTCCCTCTTCTCTTTTTTGTTGTTTTACTTTGTCTGCAGTTACAGCAAGAGGAGTTAAAGCTAGAGATGCACCGATCCAGCTTTTTTACTACCAATACCGGAACTATGGGTATCTGCCGATACGATATTGACCGATACCGGAAACTCTTTGTTCAAGTAACTGCAAAAGCAGTGGATGAACTAAAGCGCTAAACTTTCCAGATAAAAATGGATTCAACATAAAAATGTGCAATGATGCAACTATAAAGAGCTGCTCAATGTTCACATTAAAGTGGTTCTCACCCCCGCTCCTCGGAGCTTACGTCACTCACATTTCCTGTTCAAATCTTCCTCTAAATGGGCGTAGCCTGGAGGACTAAAGGGGGCGTGAACGAGACTGGGCCGTTTACATTGCTCTGGGCGGGGGGCTGCTGACGTCAGGTCTTGCTTCAGACGTCAGGTCTTGCTGCCGCGCCAGTGTTGGCGCCAGATTCAAAATTCAAATGTAGTAATACAGGTCGCCAGCAGATGGCGCCTCACAGACGGTTTTAGGCAGAAAGTTTAACTTTCAACGAATTTGCACCAAAGTGACCAAATTATGACCAGGATATGTGGACAACACTATTGGACACTCATTTATACAGTTTATCAGCAAAAAAAAGTAGATTTGAGGGTGAGTTGTCCTTTAAACATTCCAACACTGTATTATACCTTATACATTTATTGAATATAAATGTACTTATATTAACTGTGTTTGAATTAAAAAACACTTACAACAAACAAAACACGCTGCATGAAAATGTAAATAAATAATAGTACCGTAGCTTTAACTGGATTTCAGATATGTATTTGGCGACGGCATGTACCTGGGTTCCAAATGGTCTATGCGGCTGCGAGCCCAAACTGATGAGCTCCAACACTTTCGGGTTGTTGCTGAAAAGCTTTTTGTGACGCTGCGTCAGTGTCATCTGTGTCTCGTTGTTTTCACGTAATCTCCTTTCGATGCAAAAACTCCCCATGCTGTTTCTCGTGGTGCTTAGTCGTGTTGTATTTCGCTAGTTTACCGCCGCGTGAACAACGCTGATTCTTTCCTGCGCTCCATGCTGTGTTGTTGTAGAGCGCCACGAGGAAGTGACGTGTACGTGAGATCTGATAAATTACTTTTAATTAATTCATTTTATACGTATATGTACATTATGCACAATGTAATATAAGACATTGTGCGGTACCTGGTATGTATTAAAAAAATATATAATTAAAAAAAAAAAAAAAAGAAAAGAAAATGGATCGGCAGCACGGCGCCTCTCTCTACGCAGATATCCGATCCAGTAGTTTTTCTGGTATCGGCGCCGATATCGATACCAGTATCGGATCGGTGCATCCCTAGTTAAAGCCACTATCAGCTTCATGCTACTGTGTTTACCAGCGCTGTAGACGCTAGAGGAGGCGTGGCCTGTTCGTAACAGGGCCGCTCCTCGTTCTGTGAGTGGAAGAGCGCAGCGTCACGCTAAGTTTCTACTCAGCACTTTTTACGGCCTGAATTCATACACAAGCTGAATCAATGAGCTCAAGTTTTCAATTAAATGACGGATTTTAATACTACTTGTTTGTAGTAATATGTAAATTTCTCCTGTGTGAGATCAATAAAGTCTATCCTATGCATTTTTCTGAACTCCTTAGAAAATAAATCGGGTATAGCATTTAACTTAAACTTTAACTTTAAGTTTGCGCATTGTAATTGGAGAAAGGGAAGAAAATAAGCCAAATAATAATTTACGTGTAGTCTTACGTGTGGCTCAAATCGATCGGTGAAATTGAAACTTATTTGTTCAACTGGGATTTCTTAAGACTTTTAGTATGTTGTTTGGGAAATCCCTTTGCTGCTGCGTGCGCTTAAAATAATTTTTAATTGCATGACAGCTTGGCTAACACTGAATATCACAACTGATATGTATTCTGGGAACCGTCTGTTCATTTTCTCGTAGGAGAGGTGTGGTTTACGATTACAGTTTATTGGGCTCAATGTATCTCCATTCGCCAATCATTTCAATTCAACTCGTTCTCAAATGTCGCGACAGAAATTCATCAAAAGAAGTCAAACAGATGGTGCCGAACGATTACTGCCATTAGTGCAAGTTAAACACAGGGACGATAGCTTCATCATCGGCTTGCCATCCCGCCCTCTTCTGTGATTAGTCTCAAATCCATGTGAAAATTTCAAGCCAACATAATTGCATTGGACTTGGGGACAGAGACGGGAGGACCAGCAATATGACGATGACGCACTATTGGACCGACGGAAGCTTGTAGTTTGTTTACAGATCCAGCAGGTGGCAGCAGAGGCTTGCACAAATGGCACTAATCGTCAAAAACGGACGGTTCCCAGACCATGACCTGTGATATGTGTTTGCCAAGCTAACATTGTATTGGACATGTAAGAATGATTCGTGGTGAAATGTAGGGTTTCCTTGTGTCTTCTTCCAGGCCTTGGAGAAGACCTTGCACAGTGGTGTGGACACCCTGGTGCAGTCTCACGTGGGGCAGAAGGCAGAGGTGGCCCCAGAGCTGCAGCTGATCAAAGCCACCATGGCCCTTGGTTTGTACTTGAAGCAGACGTGTCCAGGACTGAGGCAGCAGCTGCAGACCACCATCGGGACCTTCCTGAACCAGCGTGTGGGGCCTTGGATCCAGGAGCAGGGAGGATGGGTGAGTGACCTGATGGGGGACCCGACCACATCCAGCCAAGTGGATCGCACTCTCGCTTTTCAGCAAGAAGGTCCTGGGTTCAAATTAGTGGGGGCGGGTCACGGCTCAAAAATGTCCAAAATGACGTGCGCTGACATGCTTGCAATACCACCCCGGGCCGATGGCGGTGGACCCGGAATAAGAATTATTCAATGCTAATGTATAGTATCCTCTAACCTCTCAAAAACATCTTGTCACGGCCCCTCCCTGCCTGACAGGGGCGTTTCCCTCTCAGGCAGGGTGGATCCAGTGATTGGGGCACCTGTGCTTAAATGTGTGTGTGTCACTAACACTTGGTCTGCTCTGCTATGCTCCCTCCAGGTACTGGATCTTTGATTCTTTGTTTCGTCATTCGTTAATATTAGCTTTGTTTTCACACTCAGACATATGCACACACACACTGGTTTTCATTCACTGACTTGCACACATTCCACTGCTCACATACTCACACCTCATTCTTGTTGATTATTATCCTTTGTTCGTTGTTTTCATTTACAATAAATATGTAAATGACCCTACCTGTCTGTCCCTCATTTTGACACAAGTATAGAGCCAGCTTGTGACAAGTGGGGGCCCGTCCTAAAGTTTGATACTTAGGTTCTACTTAAATTTTGTTACTACAGTACTTCTAGGTTGGTTTTTCTGATTGGTTACATTGGATATTGGTTGAATATTTTGGTACCTTTCTTTTGAAGTTGCATTTGTGTAGTTTGGCAGAGTTATTGGTAAATTTGGCTGTATTTTCGGTGAGTACTGAGTTTGTCAAACTTTTGTTGAGGGATAGATTGGTTTTGGTTATTGTGTGGAGAGGAGCAGTGTTTTTGCTTCCATTAGTTTGTAGGATTAGCAACTCACATTGGGCTTATGTTCTGGGTTGTGCTTGATTGGAGTCCTCCCTGGGTAGGCTTATCAGCAGGTCTCATTAGGGGGCTTGTGGTGCTTCTGTTTTAGGCGGTGAACGTGGGTAGAGCATCCCTTTCCCCTTTCCCCTACATCGGCTCGGGAGCACCTCCGTAGTTGTGAGGAGGTAGCTTCTACCTCTCTTTACTCTGCTGGTTTCGAGTGCATAACACCCCATCATAAGAGACCGCAAGAAGACTAGGGTCCAGCTAGTTAGCTTTTTTACTGAGATAGGGGGATGGATCTCCTAATCTAAACCCAGACCAGCAGCAGGTGAGTTGTGATCTTGTATTGGTGGAAAAGTTGATTAAAAATGTCTGTCGTGGATGATTTTGTTCAGTCTCCGTCAGAGTTGGTTTTAGATTTGTGTACCAAGGAGCAGTTACTTGAGATAGCAGAGCATTACAAGATTGGAATTGTGGACAGGAAGCTTAAAGAGACGGTCAAGGTTGTGTTAAAACAGGGTCTTATTGAAGCTGGTGTTTTTTGTAGTGAGTCTTCAAGGGCAGGTTTTCAGACCAGCCAGAGTATGTTGACTTTCGAGCAGCAGAGGGAGCTGTTGCTGATGCAGTTGGACTTAGAAAGGCTGAGGAGTGTGAACAGGCCTGTGGCAGAGGCTAGAGGACCACAGTTTGATGTAGCACAGAATCTTCGCGTGTTGCCAAAGTTTGATGAGTCTGATTTAGACACTTATTTCACTTTGTTTGAACGTATTGCTGACGCAAGAGCTTAGTCTGATGTGGACAAGACTACGTTGTTGCAATGTGTCCTTACAGGTAAAGCTCTTGAGGATTTTTCATCACTGAGTGTAGCTGATAGCCGGGTGTATGCTACAGTTGAGGCTGCAGTGTTTAAAGTTTATGAGCTTGTACCCGAGGCTTATCAACAGCGTTTTTGTTATAGGAAAAAATTGGATTCTCAAACATATTCAGAGTTTGTTCGTGATTTGACTGTTGCCTTCAATAGGTGGTGTACTGCATTGGAAGTGGTTACATTCCAGGATTTGTCCAATTTGATGGTGTTGGAGCAGTTTAAAAAAATCTGTGCCTGTACAGGTGGCCACCTATCTTAATGAGCGTAACGTCAGGGGTCCTAGTGAAGCAGCAAGGCTAGCAGATGACTATGTTTTGACCCACAGAAGTAATTTTGAGTTGAGTATGGGTTTTCACTCTAAGTTTGGGGCTCCAACACAGAGGTCCCTGGTTAGTTCACAAAAGTATAGGCATGAGTCTGGTAATGGAGGTTCCAAAGGATCAGTTGGTGCAACAAATACTTGTAGATATTGTTTTGTTGAGGGTCACTGGAAAAAGGACTGTCCACTTCTAAAAGCAAGAAAATCAGGCCAGGTGAAGCCTGCAGCTATGGCGGCTCCTCTAGTCCAGTCAAGTTCGGTGTTTGAGCATCAAGATGAGTGTTGTAAACTGGTTAATGGTGCCTCAGTTAAAGATGATTTTTCATCTTTTATTTCAGACGGTACCGTATCTCTAGTACAGGGAGATCAAAAAGTCCCAATTAAAATCTTAAGAGATACGGGGGCTCTAGATTCATTTATTTTAGAGTCTGTGTTGCCATTTTCAAAACAATCTGACATGGGCAGTTGTATTTTGGTTAATGGTATGGGTTTGGTTCCATTTTCTTCACCACTTCATCGGATCAGGTTAACTTGTGTGGTGGTTGGAGTCCGACCAAGGTTGCCAGTAGAGGGAGTCCACATGATTATGGGGAATGATCTGGCAGGTAGTACAGTGTGGGCGGATGGCAACCCTCACATTTTCAAAGACCCTCCCACTTCTTCTGCAGATAAGAGTCCAGATTGTGATAGCGTGGCTTCTGATGTTTTCCCTAGTTGTGTAGTTACCCGTGCAGCTTCTCGTCGTGGGGAGGTAGAGTTGCAGACAGAGGATCTGGAGTGGCCAGTTAAACTCCAGTTAGATCCTTTAACTGTTTCTAGGGATGTTTTGATAGCTGAGCAAAAGTCCGATGCATCTTTGTCTGATCTTTATGACAAGGTTGTTCCGGAATCTGAAGTGAGGGATAGTGCTCAATGTTATTTCATTTCAGATGGTCTATTGCAGCCATTCCCAAACTCAGTAACACCGAGGCCCCCTTAAAAATCTGACGGGTCTGCGTGGCCCCCCAAAATAATAACCAAGAAGACAACATTAAGAATAGGCTCTTCTGGTTATTTTATTTTGGGGAAATAGCCTCTGCTACAAACATTGTAATACAAAAATGATTACAGTGGATTATTCAAGTCAAATAATGAACACAAATATTTTAATATTACAAACAAAACATTATAAATTTAACATTAAATAATTATATATATATATATTTTTTTTTATGACCTCCCGCGGCCCCCCTGCAGTACCCTCGCGGCCCACCAGGGGGCCGCGGACCCCACTTTGGGAGACACTGGTCTATTGGTTAGAAAGTGGATTCAAAGTAGGGTTCAGGGTTTGGGGGATTCAGTGTTTCAAACTGTTGTGCCCATTTCATTACGAGAAAAAGTGCTGCGTATGTCACATGGTGACGTGGCAGGTCATCTAGGTGTTCGTAAAACTTATGACAGGATTCTCAGACATTTTTTCTGGCCGTGTCTCAAGCGGGATGTGGTAAAATTCATCGAGACATGTCATGCTTGTAAAGTTAATTTTCTTAAACCATATCATTCTCCTTCTCCTGGGCAGGTCGCTGACGGCTCTGTGAGGTCCGCATTGCTGGCTGTGACGGTCGCTGAGGGTTGTTCGGACTTTGCAGAGGGGGGGAGGAGATGACTGTGGCTCCGGATGAGATTTTAAAGGGTCGTCTTAAAAACTCTACAACGTTGCAAAATCTAGGCAGTTTGGTGGACCATTTGGACCATTTGGACAAAACGTAACCAATTAGTCGCTCTGATTAAAAAACACAAGTTTTTGTTTTCGGACGTACCCCGTCAAACTCATTTAATGGAACATGACATAGACATCGGAGATGCTAAGCTCATAAAGCAAAAGTTTTACAGAGTGTCTGAGGAGAAGAGACTGCAGTTGGAGACAGGTGGATTATATGCTGGAAAATGGTTTTGCTGAGCCTTGTTATTCCAATTGGGCATCACCCTGTCTTCTTGTTAAGAAATCTGATTCCTCATTTCGGCCCTGCACCGATTATCGAAAGGTGAACAATGTGACTAAGGCAGACCTTTATCCTTTGCCTAGGATGGAGGACTGCATTGATCAGGTTGGTTCTGCAAAGTATGTTAGCAAATTTGATCTTTTAAAAGGTTATTGGCAAGTGCCACTCACGAAAAGAGCTCGTGAGATTGCTGCTTTTATAACACCGTCTGGCTTGTTTTCTTACACAGTAATGCCTTTTGGATTGCGGAATGCTCCTGCCACCTTCCAGAGGTTGATGACTCGAGTAGTCTCGGGATTGGAAGGTTGTGCCGTTTATCTCGATGTGGTGGTCTACTCACACACTTGGGATGAGCATCTCTGCAGAGTTCAGGCCCTGTTCGACAGACTGGAGTGGGCCAGGTTGACAGTAAATCTGGCAAAATGTGAATTTGCCAAGGCCACTGTCTGTTATCTCAGCAAGGTTGTGGGTCAGGGGTTTGTTCGTCCTGTGGAAGCGAAAGTCCAGGCTGTGAAGGATTTTCCGCAGCCCACCACGAAGAAGGAGCTTATGCGCTTCTTGGGGATGGCAGGGTACTATCGTGCTTTCTGCAAGAACTTCTCCTCTGTGGTGTCCCCCCTGACCAACCTGTTGAAGGCTAAGGCAGAGTTTGCCTGGTCCTCCCAGTGTCATGAGGCTTTTGTTTTGGTCAAGGCTCTTCTGTGTTCGGCTCCGGTGTTGGCAGCTCCAAATTTCAGTAAGCCCTTTAAACTTGAAGTTGATGGAAGTCACATTGGTGCAGGTGCTGTTCTCTTGCAGGAAAATGATGAAACTATAGACTGTCCTGTAAGTTTCTTCTCCCGGAAGTTTAGTAAGTACCAACTTAATGACTCGGTGATTGAGAAGGAGGCTCTGGGTCTCATTTGGGCTTTACAGCATTTTGAGGTCTATATCGGTTCCGGTCTGACCCCCTTGACTGTTTTCACGGACCATAATCCCCTTACGTTCCTTAAATCCTTACAAAACCCAAATCAGAGACTGATGCGTTGGGCTCTGTTCCTGCAGCCATATAATCTAGAGCAGCCATTCCCAAACTCAGTAACACCGAGGCCCCCTTAAAAATCTGACGGGTCTGCGTGGCCCCCCAAAATAATAACCAAGAAGACAACATTAAGAATAGGCTCTTCTGGTTATTTTATTTTGGGGAAATAGCCTCTGCTACAAACATTGTAATACAAAAATGATTACAGTGGATTATTCAAGTCAAATAATGAACACAAATATTTTAATATTACAAACAAAACATTATAAATTTAACATTAAATAATTATATATATTTTTTTTATGACCTCCCGCGGCCCCCCTGCAGTACCCTCGCGGCCCACCAGGGGGCCGCGGACCCCACTTTGGGAGACACTGATCTAGAGATTAGGCATATACGGGGTAAGGACAACGTTATTGCTGATGCTCTTTCCCGTGCTCCTGTGTAGTAACTGTTTGTTTCCTTTGCCTTCTGTCTACTCCGCCACTCTTAAACTGCTTCCCAGGTACCAGGGTTGCCTAGAGGGGGGGCTGGCAGTTGGTGAAGGATGCGAGGCACTGACTGGAGCCGTATGCCTGGATTGAGGGTGGACCCTCATCATAAGGAGGGGGGTGTCACGGCCCCTCCCTGCCTGACAGGGGCGTTTCCCTCTCAGGCAGGGTGGATCCAGTGATTGGGGCACCTGTGCTTAAATGTGTGTGGCCCAGTCCCAATACTCGCACTTCCACCCTCGCGCCCCTCATTTGCGCGTTCCCGATAAAGTGTGCAAGTGCGTCCCAATTCTCCAGGGAGGTCTTTGGCCCCGCCCCCTTTGCGCCCCTGATCCACACTTTGCCGTAGCCTGCATCTATGTGCACTCTGGCGAAGGATATTGCCCATAATTCTTTGCGGTACACACCAAAACGTCGGGAAAATGCTAATTTTGAAATATATATGCATATGTGTGTAAATAAGTTTTGCTATGTTACTTGGAAAGAAGCATAAACGTCTGATGAAGAATTACGGACATTGTGTTTTAACAATTTAATAAATTTTAAAGCAAGCGTTTATATAACATTCAATTTAAACTTTACACTTAGTACAATAATGTTAGAATGTATAAAAACTGACCAGATAGTTAGTTACCCACATTTAACTTAAAATACATGTATATTAGTTGTTTTTTTTTTTTTTTTCTTATCTTTATTTGAATTGGGACAGTGCACATTCATCAACATGTGTTTTTAACATGTAAATGTGCCAGAGTTAGCCATGTAGGCTAATTTTCATCCGTAGTTTTTAATTAAAGATAGCTGTATAATTTTAACGTGTGTGAAGCAATTCAATTTGTTTGAATTGCTTCACACACGTGAAGCAATTCATTTTGACAGGAAGGTCAGCTCTTGGCCCAAAGCTACGTTCCACATGTGTGTCAATTTTTTTGGACCGGTCTAGTTTAGTCGCAGTGGAGTTTTGAAGGCACTCGTCAATTGAATGGGGCTCGTGCCGGCTGACGCGTGCGCAAATGCGTTCTAAAAAATGTTTTCTGCCCACACAGCCATTTTGTTTGAAAATCCCCATAGAAGGCAAAAGTGAGGGCACGTTAGTTTAAATGGTGGAGATAGGCGTGGCTAAGTCTGTTAATATTTACAGTCTATGGTTAAAATCCCGGTCAGAACAGGGCCTTTCTGAGTGGAGTTTCCCCGTGTCTGCGTTGGTTTTCCTCCGGGTGCTCCAGTTTCCTCTTCCACTAAAAACATGCACAGCAGGTCTGAATGTAACGAGTGATGGTGAATGGATGGTGTTGACCGGGGCTTTGACGCTCCAGTGTGTTCTCTCGCTTCCGTCATCACCGCGTGGAGAGAATTGAACAATATCTAAACTCTGAACATGCTTTGGGTGACCTTGGTCTGAAAAAAGGCTCTTTATGAATAAACATTACTTACTTACTTTTATAGCAAAAGTATGGAACACAGAAAGACTTGTCATTGTTATATTGATACTGTACAAATGTGTTGTAAAGTAAGCCTTCGCAATAAAAGACCTGCCGGGGCTGTTACAATACTGATGGATAAGGTGATTTCCAGCTCACAGTTCAGCAGGGTCAGGCCACAATTCAGACTCCAGCATGAGCCATAAAATCTTATCTTCAAACCAAATCTTTAAAATGATTCTGTTTGCACACGACAGTCATAACACGGCTGCAGTATCTGTCATCGTCTGCTCTCAAGGCCAGACTGACTTTGACGCATGACAAATCTGTTTCCCCAAATCAAATGTTTTCAATTCCAGAGCATGCCACTTGTTGAAATGCATACAACAAATATTAAAATGCAACTTTGCCTGCGACCACCACACAGGTACCGCAAAGATGCATCAATGTGAAAAAACCAAAAAGTCACTAGTTCCTCGCTCTCAAAACAGTTCAGTTCTATCACTAGTTGTCACATCTTAAGATCAGGTTTTTGAGACCGGAAGGTTTAAAAAGCAAGGACCGAGTGTGGGATTTACACAGCGAGGGTGAAGGAAGTGGGCTAGAACCACTTCCACACTCGCTCGGCCGCACTAGCTCAGTTCAACATAGAGATTTTATACTTATTATTGATGCTAGAGGTAGAGATTGTTTTTATTTTAACTAGTATAGCTATTGTTCACTTCGCCGTGCGCTCCTCTTTCGTACTGTTCTATAACTTGTGATGGAACACAGAAATTTCCCCAATCTTAATCTATAAACTCCAGTCAATTCAATTACATTTACTTTTGTATTTTGCTAAATACACATCAGTAGTTATCTCGGAGGACTTTACAAAACCGTTATTTCACCAACACAGACCAGAGAAAACGTTCAAACACGAAATGCATGGATAAATGCACATAGAGGCATTGGTCCATAAGGGGCAGACGACCAATGTCCATAAATGTTGTTAAAGTCCATCGATATCGAGTGTCCTGGATCATCACCACGGTCCTTAGACCCTCCTGCTTTGGAAAATGAAAAACTCTTCCATATCCAAAACGTGACAGTCTTACAGACCTTTCAGGGTCTTGCATTTGTCTCTTATTTTTGCCATAATTGTCTTGTTCTGCTTTCTCTCATCGAAGAGGGGATGTTCATAAAGTCTCATCACCGTGACGCCTCCACGTTTTCTCTTTGGTCTGATCTTCCAAAGTACCACTGACCTCCTAATGGTTTTTTTGTTTTCTGTTTTGTTCCAGGAGCGAGTGGCGGCCGCGAGTCAACAGAACACCTCATTGTGAATCATGGACTTCACACCAAACCGCTGCACTGTCTAAGCTCCCATATCCTGCACCATCCAAGCCGGTCGGTCTCGATGTCCTAAACGGACTTATGTGATGCTAAAACGTCATGTAGCACTGTTCCCTCAGCTACGCTAATATCAAGAACCTCTGTCACTAGCATGTAGCTCCGCCCCCTTCTGTCTAAAAGCTCCTGTCTCAGGTCTGTCATTGATGATGTCACTGTCTTTACAATCGCATGTTTGTATTTGCAGTCGGTAGATTTCCAATTTGAAAGAAAAAAACTTGTCTCCTCCCTCTGGTGGCTGCATAGGGAGGTGCAGACGGAATTTGTTTGTTTTTTTTATACCGTTTTTACCATGTATTTTCTACTGAAGATTTTAGTTCACATTATAAAACATGAAATAACCAAGTAAATGGTATGATTATCATTTAAAAACAGCCAAAAAAAATCACCAAGTAATGCTTTTTTCTTTTAACTAAAAATATCCTCAGGGCCCGACTGGCACTCGGTCACACCTGCGGAGAAGCTCAGTCACCAGCTGTTGAAATGAAATGTCCCGTGGCTCAAGTTTAGTCATCCAAATATTTCAACAAAACTGGGCGAAGGTCAGCTGCGGTTACAAAGCTGCAAATTATGGGAACTTACCACAGAACTTACCACAGAACTTACCACAGAACTTACCACAGAACTTACCACAGAACTTACCACAGAACTTACCACAGAACTTACCACAGAACTTACCACAGACCTTACCACTTGTTGCTTTACAGAAACAGGGAGACTTTATCGGCACAACAATCTTGAATTCCGTTTGTTCTCGGTGATTGTGATTGTTTTTATTCTTAGCAGCATTTACACTAGGACTCTGAAACTACCCAGAGCAGTTATTTTTATTGCAATCGTGAGAAACAGGAAGTCATAAAACTAGGAAATTGCTTTGGCTCTCAATGCAAACAAATTAGAAAATTATAAATAGAATAAGGCATACATAAGAATAAAACAAAAAATCTACATATCATTTCTCAAAATTACTACTACAGGTACGCTTATGAATACTGCTTTTGATCATTTAGTTCTATTGAAACTAAGCATATGTCTTTTCAAAGTGCTCAAACTGGTGAATATAACTAGAATTACAGCAAAAACTGTTTGTTGAGCGGCTAAATGCCAATTGCTGTCAGGTAAAGACTGGGTTGCTACGGTAACTAGCACTTTTCCCTGAGCTGAGACTCCTCTGAACCAGTCCTGGACCAGAAAAGTTGCTTTAACTGCCACACATAGGAATTAACCACTGCAGCTACACCGCAAAGTCACGACGTTATGAAAACCAGAAAGGTACATAAGCCGAGTTATTCACTTCCAAAACAAAAAGCCGCCAAAATGACTGCTCTGGGAGTTCCAGTGTGCAAAGTGAAACTATGCCTGTGTGATGTACGTGATTTGGGAATTGCCAGGGTTTAGAAGTTGTTGATAGTTTTAGCTGGCAATAAACCATCAGATGTTTTAGTTTTGCACAATATGCTAAATCTTGAGATGCGGTACAATTAAAGGGAATGGGGCGCTCCACAGCTGTTTTTGATTTTTAGGAAATGTCGTTGTTTTCATTTACCAAAACTAAAAGGGAAATGGTTCAGTGATCATGAAACTATAACCTGTAGGTTTTTAAACTGAGCTGAAGGCAGTGATTAATCTACTCCATCAGAAAAGATCATAAGGATATTGTTAGGAAAGCAAAGGCCATGAGATTAAAGCTGGGGTACTTAACTTTCAATGGAACTATGTCATGAAAACCACATAATTGTTTGCTTCCGTCACTAGTTTTAAGTTTTGCATTTTTGGCCTCTGTCACATCTTTAGATCAACTTTTTCAGACGGGAACGTGAAAAAGAGAACCAGCCGCATTCATCCAATCAGCTCTCAGCTCAAAGAGTCAAACAGGGACTCGCAGGGCTCTTTTTTTAAGTACAAAATATGACATGTGTTGTAATAAGCATGTTGTGGTCTGATTTGTTCAAAACATTTTACTTTTACAATACTCATCTGTGGGACAAAGAATATATATGTGTTACCTCGGCTCTAAATTCTAAAACTACCACAAAAAAACATTTAAAAATAATGAACTGCTTAGGAAGTGAAACTGCTTATTCAGATGCCAGTACGACTTAAATGTAATCCATTAATCCGGAAACTTTGTGGAGCAGAGTGGAAATGAAAGGAAACATTTATGAATTTGCTTTGAGATTTGGCTTGTAGATGGTCGTCTGTTTCTGAAATGCTGACATCAAATTGTAACTCAAAAGCGAAAGCACCTTTTTGGTATAAGGCTGAAAATGTAGCAAAAGTTACCAAAAGTAACTCTAGTTCTATGATTAGGACCAAGAACAGTCAATGCAGTGAACTTAATCATTTCAAGTCCAGTCCATTCCAGCACGATTGAGAACAACCTGTGGATGGACTTCTATTGACTTTTTCTCTAAATTCTTTTGTCTGGTGCCTTTTATCAAATACTGCCAAGAAAGAACACTCAATGTGTTTTTAACCAACTGAAAGTGCAATGTTTTCAAACTAGTGGAACTCTTTTTGATTCATTTAGAGAACTAGAAATGCTTGTAATAGTTCTCAAATAGCATTCAGTGCCTCATCTCATTTCCATTGCTTCTATTTACATAACTGCTGTACGGGCATTGCAAGAGAAATGTATCAAAATTAGTATTGGATTTCATATTCAGCCCATAGACCGTATATAGATGGACAATGCTAATTCACTAGATCAATGAAGCCCGATAGGGAAGTGCTCATGGACAAAGTTTGGCTCCTATTGACTTGCATTGAAAAGTTAAATCCTCGAGCTCATGATGATATTGTCTTTTGTAAATTCAGATATGAGCCATGTATGGATTGACCAATCAGATGCCTTATTTCGTGCAAGGCCAACTCCAGATTGCCTTAGCCACCATGCTAGCAACACATCTGCCCCTTCATATAAGGAAATTGGCTCCAGTTAGCTTATGTTCAAATCAGCTTCTTCCGCACTAAGGCTAACTCTATGGTGATGTCACACTCCGGTCAGTCCACTCCTGATATACTATCTTTGCTCTGGATCACTGCCTTAAAACCCAAATATTTCAAACTGAAGTGGAGTTTTTGAGATCAAACTCATAACAAAATCCAAATCTCTGCATGATTTTTGTGGGTAAAGTTGAAAGTATTGCTTTATTTCTTGTTTTTGTAACTTGAAGCATGTTTGCATGTGTCTGCAGTAAAAGCACAATCTGCAGACTGTGTTAGAACCATAGGAATGTCTGTCATCACCAGCGATGAGTTTAAACTACAGTGTTTTTGTAAACGCCTCAAAATAATGTGTGGTTTTTAGAATTTGTACGATTTCAATAAAATGTGAAGTTGTATGATTCTTGTCTGTTATTTGTATATGTACTTGTATTTGTGTGTATTTGTCCTCTCCCAGAGTTGCTCACTCACCGCCTCACACTGCCCCCACCCACCCACCACCTGTGACCTGCCCCCCCTCGACCGCCACCCACTGCCTCCATCTCAGGTCGAAGCTCAGCACCATTGGAGACTTGACCAGTCATTTAGACCTTTTTATACCATAACTTAGGGTATTTTCCCTCTACTTTTAATCACTGTGGTGAGTCCTATTGACCCAACAGGCAGCACAAGGGTCAAAAGAGGCCTAACCCTTTCATTTATGTATTCTAATTTCTAGTATCCTTTCTTTTGTGTGTTGATTGATTTTAATCCGTAGCACTTTGATGTTTCTTAAAGATGTAAGGTGCATTATGTAAAATATTGTTACTTAATATTATTATAATTTAAAGTAACATAAAAAGGCCGATTCCGCAGCGGTTACGCTAGCATGTATAAGCATCATGAGATGGAAAGATATGTTTCATTATGTATTCAGATGCAGCAATGCCATTTCTGCATTTGTGTTGCAACCGATCTGACCAGAAGATGGCAGTGTTGCCCCACTCCTCTGAAAGGAAGGGCAGTAAATGAACCGTGACCACATCACCACACAACACATTCACTACACTTTAAAACAATAATCATATGTAAATGATTTACTGCCATTTTCAGTGACTAAATCGTGGTAGTAGTTGTAAAAAATCTGACATTCAGCTGCAATATTCAACAATACTTGGTAAAGGGCAAAGCCTTTCATTATTTTTCTAATGACATTTGTATATTTTTTTTTGCAAATTAACAATTGGATTGTTTTCTTTTGTGAGAAGCTGCTTGTTCTGAGCCAAACCAATAAATGTGGATTTTAAATCTTTTGTCTGGACGGAGACAGCTGCAGGTGTCAGAAAGTCCAGTTCGTGGGCAATAAAACGTGTGGAGCAGCTGTCGGAACCAGAAACCTCTCACATAAAAGAACAGTGCCCATTGTCCAGACTCAATGTGAGACCTGGGACTGGGGCCAATCTGTTTTGATTTACAGAGTCCAGTCCTGGGGCCACAAAGGACACTCAAGCCCTGTTTCCAGCTACTCCACTCTACCCTACCCTACGCTATCCTACCCTACCCTGGAAACTAAGGAATTTCTCCAGATACTGGTTTTTTTTGGGTAGGTTGCTACAATATAATACCAGATACTGAACAAAAACACAACCAGGTGTAGAGCCGAGTAGAGTAAAGTAGGGCTATGTATAGCGGTGGAAATGAGGCTTATGGTTATTCAGAGTCCCATTTTGAAGCCATGGTTACCGGAAATTTCCATGGATAAAGGTTTTTTTGTGGGTCTGTTGCTAGGATACATACCAGATACTAAAGCGTAATGGACACGCAACCAGGTAGAGCTGAGCAGAGTAGAGTATGGGCTGGTGGAAACTTGCTGCAACTTGGCTTTTTAACTCTGGAAAGACCAAACCAAGGCCCTCATGTTGTGTGGCCCTCTGCCGCTAACACAAAGTAGAGTCTTTGAGATCATAAACACAAGTTCAGTGTCATCCAGCCAACTCCAGCTCCGGCAGTATTCACACGCTGTACCTCGATATGTAGCTCTAAACTCCAGCAGTATACTTTATTTACAATGAGTTTTTTCTTTTTTCATCTCACAGAATTCTTCAAGTGTAGCTGGTAAGATCAGCCAAAGAGTGGATCCCTCTCTCAATGTGGCCCTTTCTGAGGATTCCAACTATTTTCTCAGTTTTTTTTTATAGCTGTTCCTTGCTGATGCAGGAGGGTCTAAGGACAGTTCTGATCCAGGACATTTAGGGACCTTTATTAACATTTATGAACAAGGGTAATCCTGCTCCCTTTGGACCAATGGCTCCTATGTGTGTCTTATTATTGCATTTGCTGTTTTCGATTGATTCTCTGATGTTGAGGAATTGACCACCACAAAACGACTGCTGTTGTGATTTAGGGTTATATACACAAATACATTGAATTGAAGAAGATCCCAACATTTTCCACTGAAATACTGTCATTTTTACACTATACAAGCCTGTGTTGCACCTCCTCCTTCAGCACCTCCTGTTCTCCCCCTCGCCTCCTCTCTCCTCCTGTCCTGAGAGGCTCCTTGTTACCTGCACCTGTACCTCTAGATAATACCATAAACTACAGTACAATATAACATCAAACTTGACAAAAGGCTTTCCATATTCTGGCATTAAAATATTAGTACAGTGTTCTTTCCAACACTGGACACAACTTGATATTAACTCCCAGAGCAGTCAATTTGACGGCTTTTGGTTTTGGGAGTTAATTACTCAGCTCAGGTACAGTTTTACACTAAATTTTTCTGTTTCTATACAAACTTTATTTCCGTCTAATTATTCGATGACATTGCTTTCTAACCAACTTTACGGCAGCTAAATCCTCTTTTTGAAGGTGCTGGTCCAGGACTGAGCTTGGTTTTCCTCCAGAGAAGTTACCATAGCAACACACCTTTTACTGTCAGCAGTTAGTTCTTTGGCAGCGTTTCAATAACTGTTTTTACTGTATTTTAGTTATTATCACTAGTTTTAGCTCTTATTAAAAGTGAATAAAGTTATTATTTATTTTTTTACGTTATGTCTGGTGTAGAAACGTATTTTGGGGAATTGCTCAGAATAACCTTGGTTTGAATGGGAGCAGTCAAAATGCCGGCTCTGGGAGTTCTTGTAGTTTCATAATTCATCAGCAAAAGGTCAGTCTCATGTTTCTTTTTAATGATGCCGCTGGATTATAATACTCGCGGTGAAGGCCACAGAACAAATGTGAAATAAGGAGTTTGCTGATACATTATAGATTGTTGATATTAGTTGTGTAACTAATACTTTATATAAGAAATACACATAAAGACCAAAACAAACACTATTACGAAATAAAACAAAGAATAAAACCCTCCAATTATTCAGACACGACACAGAGTCAACACACATTAAACACACAGTACACACACACAGTCCTCCTTTGGACATAAGTCATCTTTATTGATACAGCACATTTCAAAGACAAAGATAGGATTCTTGTTTTCCCAGATCGTTTCCACTCTCTTTGCATTCAAGTACATGTTTTAGTGGCAGAGGACACCCACGCAGACATAGGGAGAAGATGCAAATTGAATCAAACCCAGGACCTTCTTGCTCCAAGCTGCTGGGGCCTGGTACTCCTCCCAACTGTGAGAGAGGGAGTGGGCTTTAAAGTCAGCCTAAAGACACTGTCACAAGGGTAAAATTATATGAGAAATGAGAAGATTTAATAACAAATATAACTAATCCAAAACCAGAAAAACCACAGAGAACAGAAATTGAAACAGACGAGGGATGACAATGACGGAACAGGGAGTGAAGGAACACACAGGGCTAAATACAAGACTAACGACACACAGGTAATCAAACAGGAAGACCAACCAAAGACACAGGGATAACACATTTAAAAATAAAACAGGAAATAAACTTAAACCATGACAGACACGACTCATAGAAGTGTGCAGTCATTTCATAATGGTGTGTTGTATGTGTTGTAAATGTTGTGTATCCTTGTGGTTAAGGCTGCCACATTTGACCTGTGTTTTAAAAGCCAAGTTAAAGGACATTTGCTTTGTTGTTGTTCACACACTGCTGTCGCCTCTGCCCAGGGATTATGGAGGAACATGATCTAAGCTTTGTCCGCTCTGTGGGCAATGTCCCCCACACTTTCCACACCCTGTCCAGTATGAAGCCCTTATTCCCAGTAGAAAATCGCCATCTCCAGATTCATCCTAGTGGTATGAATTTGAATTTGAATGTTACTTTATGGAGGAATGACAAAACATACAACAAATAAGTTTCACAATGTTTACATAAATAAACATCAAAATGATGTACATTTAATTGAACATCTAACAAAACTACTGTTGGTTCCAGACTTAAACACTTGTTGCTAAAAGCTGCCGGAGGTTCATGGTTTATGACAGAGCTGTTTCCTGTTGAAAGTGCTAAATCTTCAACAGTTGGGTGTAACTTAGTTACTGTAATTAAATTACATGTTGTTGTAGCAAGTAGTGTAGAACAAGATATCTGTCATTACATCACAGTGAAGAAGGGGCTCAGTTACTTTCAACGTTTGGGAGGAGAGCTTTCCTTCTCAAAAAAAAGTCTCTAAAAGTGAACCATATTCTTAAAATCTCATACAATAATATTCATCCACCCATTCTCTTCCACTTTATCTCATGCTGAGAAGCAGGGGCAGCAGTCTGAGCAGAGACGCTCAACTTCCCTCTCCACATACACTGGGCCTCATGTATGAAAGTCATCCATGGGCTGCTCCACCAGTGGCACACTGTGGTCCTGTGCCTGTTGTGGAGAACCGAGCTAGGACCATATGGCACACTTGTACCGGGAGGTACCAGAGCGTACCCCCTACATGTCCCAGAGCCTGATCAGACCCGCGCAGCGCTCCACGGTGGCGCGCGTCTTTGCTTGGACCCGCATGAACCAAATGCCATTACGCACTGATTGTAGGTGCATATAACAATCCACAGATTTGTGGGAGACTAAGTTTGACATCTTGCACCTTATTTAATAACACAAACTAGCCTTAACATAACATCGTAAAATTGCATATTTGTACTATGAGAGGTGTGCCTATAATCTTGTCAGCGTGTGGGAATATGTCTTGCATTTCATGCGTGTTTTGGCGTGTTGTAATGAAGGTTGAAATGAGCATACACATTTACACCACCTATTGACTTGGTGTAAATTCTGTGCGTATCGTACGTCCAGATTGATAAATGCGGAAAAGTGTAAATATTTTGCGTACGCAAGTTTCATACATGAGGTCCACTATTTCAGGCTCTTTCATTGGGATCTGAGGCGTTGCCGGTGAGAGACATCTCCCTCCAGTGTGTCCTGACCGCCGAGAAGGTCTGTCCATAAAGATAGAACCGGGGACAAAGGGCAGCCCTGGTGGAGGCCAACACCGGGCGCAGGTCTGACTCACTGCACTGAACGCAGCTCTGGCTCCAGTCATACAGGGACCGGACAATTCTCAGCAGAGGACCCCGGACACCGTACTCCTGGAGAACCCCCAAAGGATACCCCAGGGAACACGGTTGAACACCTTCTCCAGATCCACAAAGCACATGTGGACAGGTTGGGCGAACTCCCATGAACCCTCGAGTATCCGATGGAGAGTATAGAGCTGGTCCAGTGTTCTGAGGCCGGGACGAAAACCACACTGTTGCTCCTGGATTGGAGACTCGATCATTGGTCCTAGTTTCCTCTCCAGTACTCTGGAGTAGACCTGACGGGGGAGGCTGAGGAGTGTGATCCCATGACAACTGGAACACACCCTCTGGGACCTCCACCCTCAAACACTGATGTACAAAGACATGAGCGCTCTGCCTTATTGTAAAATCAAGTTTAAAAGAAGACATACATAGTTTATGAAAACCAGTTTGTCGCAGTCATAACTTACACCACACTTTCTCACACAATCCACGTAATTATTTAAGAAGCACTTAACACAACGTTCAGAGAGCTGGTCTCACTGTAAACTACCACGAGCCAGCCATAAAAAACACTTCCTGGTCTTTCTGGATCTTTCCACGTTCTCATGTCACTTGTAAACATTATTATAGTCATTAGCATGAACAGTTCAAAAACTGTAATGTGGTGTTGAATTCCACAGATAAAAACCATGTGCAAATAGACTTTTGGAAATTATCAACAGATGTTTTAATTCACTTGGTTCACAATTTAACTAATTGTGGTCTTAATATTGGTCCACAATCGACAGAATAATGTCATTAAGCTGGACGAAACAGTCTGAAGTCTTTCCATCCATTTCTGACCATCTTACAGATCCATTCCCTCCTTTTTCCCAGAAATTATCTGCGTTGTCTTCCAATCGAAAGGTCTCAACACAAGCCTCTATTGTTCAAAAGCCCTTTCTATAAAATGCTTCTCAAGATACCATCATAAGGTGGTTTTGGGCTCCACTCTCGCACCAAGGACAGTTAATTCCAAAGCGTCACACGTCGTCGTCGTCATCGTTTTGCCTGAGCCGGGTCTCTTTGCTTCGGCTCCTCTGGCTTCCCCTCTGCGGGAGCCTCCCCACCGGGTCATGGCACAGGACGTATGTTGTCCAGATCTTGCGGAAGGCCGAGCGGAACTTGTTGATGCGGAAGGCGTAGACGACAGGGTTGACCGCGGAGTTGGCGTGGCTGAGCAGGATGGCCACGTAGATGAGGGAGGGCGTGGAGGGGCAGCCGGGGCAGAAGAGCGTGATGCAGTTCAGGATGTGCAGAGGCAGCCAGCTCACCGCGAACAGGAACAGCACCAGAGCCAGAGATTTGGCCAGTTTCAGCTCTTTCCCGAAGTACCGCCGAGGGTCTGAGTGACTGGAGATTACCTGAGGAGAGAGAGACGAGGAGTTAATGTGAAGGCTTTGGATCTATTTTTCAAGGACATAAGAAGCGTCTGGAGACTTAAATGTTCTATATTATGCTTTTCAACTTTGCCCAAAGTAGTTTTTTCATTGATTCCCTCAAGCTTTAGTGAATGAGCAATCTTTCTCTTTCATTCTTGGGAGGGAGCCTCAATTCAATTTCAATTCAACATGGCACCGAGCTGCAGAAGCACCCAAGCGATTGACAGGGGAAGAAATCGAAACAGAAAGGCCCATCAAAGTGCCTGAAACAGTCTCTCTCTCGAGTCCCGCGAGTACCAGTCATGAATGTGATACCAGAGTATGTTTTTACTGCTCCTGTCGCCGACAAAAAGTGTTAGCCTTATAGTGATTTCAGACCGGATCATGCGTTGCGTCGGCTTTCAATGCAAAGTCTATAGTGACTCGCGTTCGAGCGTCACAACGCACGGACCTCTCGGCACACACGGACGGACTGTTCAGTAGACACGCACCGACTTGGCGGGAAAGTGAAAGGAGAGGAGCAGGAGGTGGATTCTGCTCATCCTTTGCTCGGGACGTTCGTGCGACAACCAATCAGAGAGCAGCAAAGTGGTCATGGGGACATTAGCGGACTGAGCGAGCAGACTGAAAATACTCGTAAACAGCCAAAACAGGACCCACACCAGGCTTCACCAGAACTCAAACCAGGGTTGACAATGGGGGACTCTGTGCTTGTGAAAATACGGGTTTTCATGCTCCCGTGACCTTATGCAACTGCTTCGAGTGTGTTCGCCGATGCGGAAAAACCGTTGAATAATATGAAAAAACGTATGGCGCACCTCCGTGAACACATACTACTGTTATATAAGGTCTCTGTTCAAAGACACGCTGCAAAGCTGCATATTGGAGAAGATCTGTACACAAGAAGCCGCTAGCTAAACTCTGTTAGCATCAGAGCCGGCCGGCTACTTCCGGCACTTCCGGTGCGCGGCATACATCTTGGTGTGAAGACCTCTGCGTCTGAAAACTAGAGAATGCGCGTCTGGTGAGCGGGGCTTCAGCATTTCAGCGTTGGCGGTCTGAAAGCACCATTACAGGACTTGGAGACTTGTGCATCTGCAAGCGACACTTCATCAAAGACTGCTTCCAGAACTACTACGGTACCGTAAAACTGGAGCTCCCAGGAAGAAGAGCAGAGATCAACCCCCTTCAATTGAGGTGATGTCCCCAGTATGCAAGAAAGGGCTATAATCTCACAAGTTTCGAGTGTTGTATGGTGTATCACTTTAAAGATCAAGGCTACGCTGTCACAGACAGAGCACCCATTGGGTGGCAGCGAATTGCCACCCTCCTGACCCAGATATGGACAAAGGTGAAGAAAATGGATGGATGGATTAATGGATGGGTTATCACTGAAATTATTTCCACATGTGCTTTAGATGGACTGTGAACCATGAAGGAGAGCATAAGACCTTTACTTCACAATGATGGTATGATGAGACGTGAAAGATTTAAATCACATTGTTACATTGTTTTGAAGTTGCTGGTAATGGCATTGTGTCCTCAGTGGCTAGCTGATTTAAGCTACAAATTCATTGACTTTTGTGCTTTTGCCATGTGAAAATTTGCCTCATGTAAAGTGTTCAGAGTTTCATGCTGAACCAGAGCAGAGTAGATTATGGGGTGCCGATTGTAAAAATTCTGTTAAAATTTTTTAGCTGAACATTTTTCAACATTTAGCTCACTTTCCTCACATTTAGCGCAGTTTCCTCACATTTAAGACAGACATTCATGTAAAACAACACGTTATATGTAGTTGTCAAATACATGTTAAATATTATATATATATGTTTATATCTAAATCTAAATGTGAAATGTTATATCTAAATATTATATCTATATCTAAATGTTAAATGTTATATCTAAATATTATATCTATATCTAAATGTTAAATGTTATATCTAAATATTATATCTATATCTAAATGTTAAATGTTATATCTAAATGTTATATCTATATCTAAATGTTATATCTATATCTAAATGTTAAATGTTATATCTAAATGTTATATCTATATCTAAATGTCATATCTATATCTAAATGTTATATCTAAATATATCTATATCTAAATGTTAAATGTTATATCTAAATGTTATATATATATCTAAATGTTAAATGTTATATCTAAATGTTATATCTATATCTAAATGTTATATCTAAATGTTAAATCTAAATGTTATATCTATATCTAAATGTTATATCTAAATGTTATATCTATATCTAAATGTTATATCTAAATATTATATCTATATCTAAATGTTAAATGTTATATCTAAATATTATATCTATATCTAAATGTTATATCTATATCTAAATGTTAAATCTAAATGTTAAATCTAAATGTTATATCTAAATGTGTCGCCAAGTGTAAAGCTAAATATATAGAAAATATTTAAATCCGCAAGGAAACCACGCCCACTGCAGTGGCTTCAAATCCAGTGGGGGGTCCGCCCCCTTTCCTGAAATGAGTTGCTCTAGTGGCAGGCCGTGGTATTGCAGCCTACGGCTCAAAAGCCCTTTTCGCCATAGACAACTATGTAAAAGGAGCAGCCTGTAAAATGGTCCACGGGGCGTCTGGAGTTTCAGATTAAGGCAAATATTTTTCTTTAAAATGACTATTTTTAGGACATGGACTTATTTTCTTCGTAAAAGAATTGTAAAGCATCAAAAATCATTTAAAATTTTTTTAATTTTTTTTTTTTTAAATGTTTAAAAAAAAAGTTGTTTTTTAAACTTTAAAAAGGTTTTTCAAAAACTGGACTAAAAACAAGGATAAATGCTAACTAACAAACCCCTCAAGTAAGTTTGTTTCTGTCTTTAGCAGCATTTCATGTACTTTGTAAGTTTACTATGTTATTTGAGTGAGTGAGTACGTTATTTGAGTGAGTACGTAATCTTTATTTAGTAAGTAAGTGCTTTATTGTCATTGTACAAGTGCACAACGAAACAGTGTTCAGGTGTCAGTCCTGACACCTGAACACTGTTTCTGTATTTGTAGCACCTTTCACAGACAAGAGCCACAAAGTGCTTCACGACAGTTTAAAAATCAGAAAAATACACACAATAAAAGGGTGAAAACAAGCAACTCATTTCAGGAAAGGGGGCGGACCCCCCACTGGATTTGAAGCCACTGCAGTGGGCGTGGTTTCCTTGCGGATTTAAATATTTTCTATATATTTAGCTTTACACTTGGCGACACATTTAGATATAACATTTAGATTTAACATTTAGATTTAACATTTAGATTTAACATTTAGATATAGATATAATATTTAGATATAACATTTAGATATAGATATAACATTTAGATATAGATATAATATTTAGATATAACATTTAGATATAGATATAACATTTAGATTTAACATTTAGATATAACATTTAGCTATAGATATAACATTTAGATATAACATTTAACATTTAGATATATATATATATAACATTTAGATATAACATTTAACATTTAGATATAGATATATTTAGATATAACATTTAGATATAGATATGACATTTAGATATAGATATAACATTTAGATATAACATTTAACATTTAGATATAGATATAACATTTAGATATAGATATAACATTTAGATATAACATTTAACATTTAGATATAGATATAATATTTAGATATAACATTTAACATTTAGATATAGATATAATATTTAGATATAACATTTAACATTTAGATATAGATATAATATTTAGATATAACATTTCACATTTAGATTTAGATATAAACATATATATATAATATTTAACATGTATTTGACAACTACATATAACGTGTTGTTTTACATGAATGTCTGTCTTAAATGTGAGGAAAATGCGCTAAATGTGAGGAAAGTGAGCTAAATGTTGAAAAATGTTCAGCTAAAAAATTTTAACACAATTTTTACAATCGGCACCCCATAGTAGATGGCCTGAACTAAGGACTTCAGGACAGACCTGACCTTCCATAACACTACCTCTACTTGGTGGGTCTTTTGAGGACACCATCCACACCAAGAGGGGACCATCATGCCCAAAGAAATCTAGCTGGTCCAATGTAGATAGACGGCCACATCACAAGCTGTAAGAGGCTTTTTATGTTTTTATGCATTTATTTATTTGGATCTCCATTATCTTCCACTAAGTGGTTGCTAGTCTTCCTGGGGTCCATACCCCATCTCTGCTCAAGCTTCTTCAATAGACTCAATTAAATGTACTTTTGTATATAGTCCTAAAACAACAGCAGTTGTCTTGAAGGACTTTACAAAGTTGTTGATTCACTAACAAAAGGTCAAATAATCAAACATATGTGCAGTAATGACTATGAGGGCCCCTGAAAAAGGAAGATAAAGGGTAGGGAAAGAGCAGATTAAAGAACACAGCAGAGCAGGCAAAGTTTAGAGACTGCGGAGAGAGGACTGGCTTTGACACATGCTGAGAGAGAGCGGTGCGACAGATCAAGAGCGCGCGACAAAGGGGGATTTTATAGGCTTTATTCTTCATTTCAGGAGGCCAGTTGCCGACCTTATGTCAGAAATGCCTCAAGAAACTTTCATGGGATGTATCTCCCTTTTATGGGAAAGATTCTGGAGAAAGTCGTTCACTTGCAGCTTAGTGACTTTCTACTGTCCAATAACAGCTATGACCTGTTCCAATCAGGTTTTATGCCACATCACAGCACCGAAACTGCCCTGATTAAGGTAACCAATGACATTCATCTGAACAGTGACGCAGGCAAAGTATCAGTGCTGGTCCTCTTAGATCTCAGTGCTGCCTTTGACACTGTGAACCATGGAACCCTCCTGCAGCAGACTGGAGGAGTGGGTGGGAGTCTCTGGCACTGTCCTAAAGTGGTTTAAGTCATATCTGGAGGATAGGAAATATTATGTTGAGATGGGAGACTCTGTCTCAGACCACATGGCCATGACATGTGGAGTGCCACAGGGATCAATCCTGGGACCACTCCTATTTAATATCTACTTGCTTCCATTGGGTGAGTTGATCAGAAGCCATAATGTGTCATACCACAACTATGCAGATGACACTCAGATCTATGTATCACTAACAGCCGATGAATATAGTCCAGTGGACTCACTATGTCACTGCATCCAAGAAATTAGTGCATGGATGCAAAACAATTTTCTTCAGCTAAATACAGATAAAACTGAAGTGATTGTTTTTGATCCCCAAAAGCAAAGAGACATTGTGTCAAATCATCTTATATCCTTCCACTTGAAACCTAAGAATCAGGTCAAAAATCTAGGCGTGATAATGGATTCTGACCTGAATTTTAATTGCCACCTCAAATCTGTGACATCAACCGCTTTTTATCAGTTAAAGAACATTGCGAGAATCAAAAATCTAGTGTCTAAAGCAGACTTAGAGATCCTTATACTGTACATGTATTTGTCTTCAGTAGGCTAGACTACTGTAACGGCCTGCTCACAGGTCTTTCTAAAGGAGCAATAAAACAGCTGCAGTACATTCAAAATGCAGCAGCTCGAGGCCTGACTAGAACCAGGAAGTACGACCACATTAGTCCAGTTCTCAGGTCTCTGCACTGGCTTCCTGTGGCTCAGAGAATAGACTTTAAAGTAGCTCTTCTTGTGTTCAAGTCTCTCCATGGCCTTGCACCAGGGTACATCCTTGACATGCTAGTCCCATATGAACCCGCTCATACTTTGAGGAGCACAGGGACTGGCCTGCAGGTGTCCAGAGTCAGGCCGAAACATGGGGAGGCTGCTTTTCAGATTTATGCTGCTAGGATATGGAATGGCCTTCCTGAGGTTGTGACACAGGCCACTACCCTGACCATGTTCAAAACGGGGCTGAAAACATATCTCTTTAGCTGTGCATACAACTGACTGATTCCATTTTGTATTACTGATTACTTTTATTGGCTTTCTTTCTTTTTTTAAACCCACTTTGTAATGTATTTTAAACCCAATACTTTTACACAATACAATACAATACAATTTATTCTTGTATAGCCCTAGGTCACAACAGAAGTCATCTCAGAGGACTTAACAAAACCATTGAAATCACCAACACAGGTCAGAGAATCAACAGTTAAAACACATGAAGAATATAAAGCACACACAGAAGAAAATGTCCATACATGTTGTAGAATGCTAAAGTGTCCTGATCATCACCAATCCTTTCTGTTGGACACTAACTGTCCAACAAGACCCTCCTGCATCGACAAGGAAAAACTCTTAAAAAACCCAGTGGGAAAAAGTGAGAAACCTTGGAGGAGAACTAGGGAAACCCACAGGGAGGGAGACCCATATGAGAAAGGGATCCGCTCCTCCGGACGGACAGGCTAATGATCTAGGACCTAAGCTAGCTACAGAACGTGGACCAGTGGACGCTGAACGTGGACAGGTCCGGTGCAGGACTGAAGCACTCCCAGGCGGGTCAGGCGGGGCAGTCCGCAGGTGTAGATGGAAGAGGCCAGGCTCAGAGATCCCGTCATCGTACCATGAAACAGACAATGGGACAACGGGTGAATAGCAATGAACAAACTACAGTCAGAATCCTAAAAATGCTAAACAGATAAAGTAGGAAGGAGGAGAGGATAGTGCTCAAGTTACCATACTTCTCCCAGCAAACTGACTCCCTATGCAGCTTGACTAACACTCTGAGGAGTTTAACCTTCTCCGAGTCTTACCTTCCTAGCCATATGCTAAACTAAAGAGGACTGTTTTAAACCTAGCCTTGAATAAAGAATAACATACAGCATAATATATAACATAATATACAACATAACACAATACATTATTGAATAATATATAACATAATATATAACATAATACAGCATATATATATATAATATATACACTACATATTATATATTACCTAATTATATGCTAAATTAAAGTAAAGTGCTTTAAGCCTGGCCTTGAATGTGGAGACCGTATCTGCTTCCTTAACATAAATGGGAAGCTGATTCCACAGTAAAGGAGCTTGGTAGCTAAATGCTCTGCCACCAACAGTGACCTTTGAGACCTTAGGGACTACCAGACGTCTGGCGTTTTGTGAGCGCAACGCTCGACCTGGTTGATACGACACTAACGTGTCTTGGAGATAAGAAGGAGCCAAGCCATTTATGGCTTTATATGTTAAGAGTAGGATTTTAAACTTTATTCTGTACTCCACAGGGAGCCAGTGGAGTGATTTTAACACCGGAGTTATGTGCTCCCTCCTTTTGGTACCTGTTAAGATCCTAGCTGCTGTATTCTGAACGAGCTGGAAGCTCTTCAAAGAGGCTTTAGGGCACGCTGCCAGTAAAGCGTTACAGTAGTCGAGCCTTGAGGTGACAAACGCGTAAATGAGTTTTTCCGCGTCACTTTTAGGAAGGAAATTCCTAATTTTAGCGATGTTCCGTAAGTGGAAGTACGCCGTTTTAGTTGCTTGGCTTATATAAGCCTTGAAGGAGAGTTCTTGGTCAAAAATGACTCCAAGATTCCTCACAGTGTTACTGGGTATTATACTGACATTATCGAGAGTAACCATCTGGTTAGTGAGGGAGTCACGCAGGCGCTTCGGACCGAGTAGGATCACTTCTGTCTTCTCCGGGTTGAGAAGTAGGAAGTTAAGAGTCATCCACATTTTAAGGTCCTTTATGCAGGCACTGAGCTTTTCTAGCTGATCTGTCTGATTAGGCTTCATCGACAGATAAAGCTGTGTGTCATCTGCATAGCAGTGGAAATTAATTCCATGCTTTTTAATAATGTTTCCCAGTGGCAGCATGTAGAGAGTAAAAAGAATCGGTCCGAGTACCGAACCCTGCGGCACACCGAATTCCACTCCAGAATAAGGCGACGAGTCCTGATTCACATTGACGAAGTGATATCGATCTGATAAATAGGATTTAAACCAGCCAAGGGCTGTTCCTCTAAGACCTATATCACATTCTAGCCTCTGCAGTAGAATGCTGTGGTCTATTGTGTCAAATGCAGCACTAAGGTCCTTTTAAACTGCTTTATCTTAATATTTGATATTTAAATAATTGTATACTTATTGACTTTTGAATGCATTTTTGATCTGTGTTTTTTTCTTTTTCTTGTGAAGCACTTTGAATTGCCTTGTACACGAATTGTGCTATACAAATAAATGATTGATTGATTGATTGATTGAACACATCTGAAGGTCCCTGCTGTGGACTGTGTCTGACCTTCTTGTTGAGCTGCCTGTGGATCATGTAGAAGATCTCGGCGTAGATCCCCAGCATGAGCAGCAGGGGGGGCAGCACCCAGCCGAAGAAGTTGAAGTAGACCATGTAGTCCATGCTGATGACGGTCTCGAACTCACAGGTCACCACCAGGTCTGCGGAGCCGTTCAGACGCAGCTGCTGCAGGTTGTTCCAGCCGAACATCGGCGTCAGTCCCACCACAAAGGACACGAGCCAACAGAGCAGCACGGCCACGCCCGCCCTGCGCGCCGTCACCACACGCTTGTAGCTGTCAGGGGGAACACAGGGGGAAGTGTTACTCTTAATATTCAAGTGAAAGACTTCAGCAATAAAACAAGACAATGAAAAACACAAAAACACATGTCCTGGAGCATCTTGGAGCACAACAACTGTGGAAACATTACTTTGCCGAGAAAGAGGCTGCTAGTGTTTGTGTACGCGCCGCTCTGGTGAATAAAAAAATACATTATATTTACACTTGCCCATTATGCCAGGTGTCCCCCCTCACCGTGAAGCATGGGGATGTAGACATGTTTTAGCTTTCACTACTTTTATTAACATTGAGCAATTTATAACGTTTTTACTTAAAATTGGTTCATATAACTTGAAATACAGAAAAAACAGTTTCAGATTCAGATCAGATTCATTTATTTGCCATTTGCAGTAAAACCACATTGGAATACATGTGCAAAAGTCACCAGTGTGCACAACACAAGAACAGAAATAAAACAAACAAACAGTTTGTTGAAAGGTCACTAAATCCTAACTGCTGTAAAGTGAACAGTGTGTTGCTATGGTAACTAATTACACGTCCAAAACTAAAAGCTGTTAAATTGACTGCTCTGGGAGCTCTAGTGTTAAGGAAAGGATGAATTGAGACATGTATCAAGAGATATTGGGCAAAAACCTTTGACTTTTCAGGAAGTATCTCTCATCCTTAAGTGCAGGGCCGGCCTGGGGCGCCATCTGCAGGATGGGGCGCAAAATTGCGGTCTTAAAAATAAAAAAATATATAAATAGTTTCCTTTCTAATTATTCTGCTAAGTGTTTCATTGAAAAAAAAAAAAACATAAATAAAACTGTTTATGTATACTATAAACTTAATCAAAATTGTCATCATTGAACCCTGCTGCTGTAGGCTGCACTTGCGAATCCCAGAAAGTGTGAAAGAGAGGTGGACGTGTTTTTGGTCAACGTTATTATGAAAAGTTTTTGGTCAACATTATTATGAAAAGGTAGTCCAAGCCGTCAGGTGCAGCCAAACGCCAAAGAAAAGAAGAGAATAAAAAACGGGCTCAAAGTAGAGGTATGAACAGAGACATGCAGCATATGGACAGATGAGAGTCTAAGCTCTGGTTTGATCTTTAAATCGTCCAAAACAAGTCTGTTTTTACAGAGTTATGACTCTCTACAGAGTCCTGTTTGAGACAGACACAAACAGATCTCAGTTTAGCCATTTTCAGAACTTTGCAAGTCTGGAGACAGAGCAAGAGGAAGAGGAAGAAGAGGAAGAGAACGACAAAGAGTTAAACAGGACAAAAACAACACAATATTTCTGATGACATTAGAGCAACTTTTGTGGATCATGTGATAAACCATGACCTCACACTGAGGGACACTGAGTCCAGCCTCAGCTCCATCATCAGGACCTTCAGTTGGAAACATGTTTCCAACTCTCTACTGCAGACTGTACCTACAGTATTTACGGTACTGTACTGTATCACATGTACTGTAACGCAAGGTGGCTATTGCTTCTTTTGAAAAAAATGTAGTTTTGTGAAACATACAAGACAGTAAAGTACATAAAACTGAGATGGTACAGTAATGTGTACATTTTACAATAATGTAAAAAAACTAAACCTATAGTAACAATTTGTGGTTTCATATTGACAAAATGACTAGACCTTCTGGAGGTCAACTGTTCACCAACAGCAGGAACTTGCCTTTGTGGAAATAGTCAGAGCAGGAACCATGATCCATAATCCACACACGCACAACTGCCTAGTTTTACATTAGAGTTTTTTGTGTTACTGCATTGACACAAATGCAGTCAAGTATACTGTAGTACTGTGATGTACAGTATACTGTAGTACTGTGATGTACAGTATTGTGTTGATATTATTTGTAACCTTTTAGTACTTCCTGGTTAATGGTAAACCTTTGTTGTGAACAAATCAGTTCCATTGAGCTTCACAGAAAACTAACTGATAAATAGAATAAAAACAGGTAAAATGACTGCAGTGTTTTGTATAAAGTACTGTAGTGTGTTGCTTCCAATCTGAAAGTGCGTTCACATGATGCAAGTGTGTGTCATTTTGTCCTCAGAGTTTAATTTTTTTTTTTCAGTTTTGAGAGCAGAGTTTGAGTTTTGATAAAGGAGTTTCATTTTGACACTGATGTGGTTGGTTTATGTCCCAGTGTTGTGTCAGGTTTTCTTAGAGTTGTGGGACTATGAGCGAAATTTTGCAAAATGTGTTCAAGCAACAGGAAAAAACTGTAATGTTCATATTCTGTCTAATCTATTTGAATGCACTTTTATTGTAAAAAGCTGGGAAGGCGCCGTTTCCTTCTTCTCATTGACTAAAGCTTCCTCAAAGTGAAAACAGACCATTGAGGCAGATAAAGCTGGGGAACCCAACTTTCAAAACACACATAATTAATTATATGTAACTAGTTCCCCGCTCTCAAAAAGGTTTTCACAAGAATGTATCGTGGTTTCAGTCTCATGTTTAGAGCTTCAGACCCTCACTCAGCCAATCAGCTCCCAGCCCAAAGAGTCAAATAGTGACGCCCAGGGCTCTTTATTTCAAGTATGCAAAGGATAACATTTGTTTTCTAATGAAAAGAAGACTGAGGATTGTGGTCTGATTTGTTCACAACATTTTACTGTTACAGAGACAAACATGTATTTTGGAGGATTTTCCCAAATTCTAGGAAAGAACCGCCCTACTCAGGAAGTAACATCAGTCACCAAGGCAGGGGACAGTTCTGAAGATGGCTCGCAGCTCTGCAGCCAAAACATGTTAACAAGGTAATACATCTAAACTTGTCTTTCAAAAGAACCCTAAAAAGCACCCTCTCCGTTTTTTGAAGAAATCAGAATGATTGACAATGACAATTAGGAGAACCAGTAGTCTTGATGATCAACCTGGAAGTAGAAAATCCTCCTATATACCTTTAACTCAGACGCACAAAAAATGTCCATAAAAACAAAAACAAATAGATAAAAACAACATACAAACATACAAGATTTACAAAATTCTGCAAAGACAGTTTCTCCAATCCCTCCAGAATTCAGACCAGTGGTCCCGGCTCAAAAGTGGCCAAAATGACTTGCGCTGACATGCTTGCAATACCACCCCGGGCCGATGGGGGTGGACTCGGAATAAGAATTAGCCAATGCTAACATATAGCATTGGCAGACCTCTCAAAAACGTCTTTACAGGATGGACCAAAAGTTGGCTCTTGGCCCAAAGCTCCGTTCCACATGTGTGTCAATGCTGAGGGGGGTGAATATTTTTGGACCAGTCTAGTTTACTCGCTGTAAATTTTTGAAGTCTCTCGTTCAAATGAATAGAGCTCGTGCCGGTTGACGCATGCGCAGATGCGTTTTTTCACATTTTCCAGCCCCCGTGGCCATTTTTAATCACTCCATGAAAGCCCGATTTTTGGCCCATTAGTTAGAACGGCGGAGATCGGCGTGACTACGTCCGTTAATAATTACAGTCTATGGTTCAGACCTATGCCTCACTCTGCTCTGTACATGAGAAGTCAAAACATTCATATTCACATTTAAAAACTCCTCAGTCCGTTTCATGAATTCATAGATTATAGATGAGATTATTTATGAAGCAAAAAGTGATGTCCCCCAGCTTTAACAGTGATCAAGTATCAACAAGGATCAACAGTATTTCACATTTTTTCCCCAATCCCTTCTTCATTGATGTCAGTTCGATAAAGATCGCGGGGCCTTTTCTGTCTCCTGCATCTGAATGTGCAGCTACACAAGACGATGTGGAGCTGGTTCTCTGGGCTCCTGGATCACCGTCTGCATACTGATCACCCACCACTCCTGCGCCCCAGATAGCTCCAGCCTGACATTTTATTTTACCAATTCACTTCAGCAAATCAAATCAGCGTACGAGCCCCGTGCCTCAAATAGGTGCTAACACGACCGCTCGCCTCATGAGAAGAACAATCGTAAATGAAAAGGTGAGAGGAAGAAGAAGAAGAAGGGAGGCTTTTTGTAGTTAACCATTTGTTCAAGGACACGTGTTTTAATCGAGTTACAAGAGAAGCACCGATGTTGAGACAAGGACTCCAAGATTTATGGAACTACTAGAACTTCCCTTCAAACCAAGAGAATTCTGTTACATTATCCCAAAAATGTTTAGTCTTCTACCAGATTTATAAAAAGTATATAATTTAGAAGGTTATTCTTTAACCTTTTCTCATTCCCGTAAAACAATCGGCAGAATACTTTTATCACCAGCGTTTCAATGTATGTGTTGTAAAGCATCTTTGAAGTGTCCAAAAATGCGCAATATATGAAGAGGACAAAGAAGGTCCGAGGCACAACTGACTAAAAATCCTTGAAGTAACACTTTAGAGTAGCCCCCACTAATTAACAGATAATTAAGTGCTAAATAGTCTAACCCTAGTCCTAACCTTAGCCCTAACCCTAGTCCTAACCCACATGGGGAAGTGTTGGTATTAGTTTGAAGTTGAACAAGGCCATGTAGAATAAGGAATAATAAGTTCTTAACAAATACCAATCAAGAGCTAATTAACCATAAAGTATGCACTTAATTAGCTGTAAATTAGAATAGATAAAATAATATTGAGTGACACCAACACATTTAGACTGATTAGAGCATCATCAGGGCAGACGGTCACTGCTTAATGCCCTGATGAAGACTTAATCGGTCGAAACGTGTTAGTATATTTTTTCTCTTTCCTCAAATTGAGGAAATGGGATTTTTGCAGAAGAATCCTGGAAAATCATTTGACTCGTGAATATACCTAACTCACAGCAGCGCTCTGACCAAAGTTCTATATATGTTTGATGTATTATTATTCTTTACTCACTCTTACAGTGCTAAAACAGTTATGCAGATGATACTCAGCTGTACATCTCCATGTCTCCTGATGACACCAGGCCAATGGATGCTCTTTTTAACTGCATTCTAGACCTGAAATCCTGGATGGCAGAAAACTTTCTCCAGCTCAACCAGGACAAAACTGAGGTTTTAGTCATCGGTCCTGAGG